GCCGACAAGAAGCAAGCTGAAGACCGATGCAAGCAGGTGGGGTCCAGTGTAACCTCCCCTTCTCTCCTCCAGCCTTGGGTCTGCTCTCCAAGGCCTTCCTATCAAAGTGGGGGCTGCACCTTCACAGGACCTTCCAGAGCTCAGTCCTAACTAGAGCTTTCACCCCACCCACCATAGCCCGGCGAGGAGTTCCCAGTTACCACTCCTGTCATTACAGAGCTGCAGTGGGTCCTTGCCTCTTGAGGTTTATCACTTTCTTCTCCCAGGGCCTCCTAACACTGCTGACTGGACTGTCTCTCCTTTGCCCTTCTCCTCCCCCAACAATCTCCAAGTATCTCCTGAAAAATACCCCACCACACACACAAACACACACACATACACAGACACAGACAGACAGACACACACACCTGCTGCCTTCCTTGCCTCCAGGGCCTGACCCAGACCTGGCTGATCAAGTCTCCCTCTTCCACAGCTGGAGGAAGAGCAGCAGGCCCTCCAGAAGAAGCTGAAGGGGACAGAGGATGAGGTGGAAAAGTATTCAGAGTCTGTGAAGGATGCCCAGGAGAAACTGGAGCAGGCGGAGAAGAAGGCCACCGACGTGAGTGTGGGTTTGGGGAGATCTAGTGGCTTTGGGACACTGACTTGAAGCCCCAGGCATGGACATAAAGGAAGAGACTTAAGTCTCTAGTACCAGAACATACATGGTTTCCTCTCTGTAACACCAGCTAGGGGCAGGTTTACACAAGTAACTCAAGGCACTGGGTAAATCAAAACCACCCACTACTTCCCCCCAGGACTCAGCCTTGTAATTCCCTTTGGTGCCAGCCCTTAGAATGTACAGTGATCAAGTGGTGAGTCACTGTGAGGATGGGAGGTGGGAATTTACCATCCCCCTCTGAGACTGAAGAGGAGGAGTCTGCAGCCACATTTGGTGTGTGTGAGGGTTGGGGTTGAATGTGGGGAGCTATCGGGCAGGAGAGGGAGAATGTTCCAAAGATGGGGCTCTGATTCGAGTTTCAGCACTAAGAGGCCATTAGGAATTCCCCACCCCTGACCTCTGGCACCAGCAGGGCTTTTGCCCTGGAGCTTCAGTTCAGGTTCTAACGGCTCCTCATTTACCCTCATTAAGCTGTCAACCTCAGGCCCAGGCCAGGCCACAGGGCAGAGGACAGGGCCACAACTGCCAAAGCAGCCACCTTGGCAGGCTCCACTTACCCTGAGGTTTCCCTACCCATCCCCAACAAGACTTCTCTACTTCCTGCCATTTCCAACCCACGTCTTCAGGCAGGATGACCATAGATGAGGCACCTTCACCATTCCCTGCCTCAGTTTCTCGTGTTAAATTTATGGTGCGCCTGTAAGTAGGGCCTGGGGGGTGAGTAGCACAAGCCATGGTCTGAGCACCTGAGATCACACTGGCATTGGTCATTCTCTGTTTCTCCAGCACCCCCATAACTGGGCTTCTTTGACCTCTAGTCTCCAGTTTTGGCTCTTTACCAGCTCTGGCACTTGGGAGGGAACTGACCTGCAGCTGCTAGCAAAGTTGACTCTGGGCATCTGATACTTTATAAATAGCCAAGGCTCAGTGCAGCTGGAGGCAAGACTGGAAACCCAAGGAGCTGGGGGGCGGGCAGGGACAGTTGGGGAAGCAGGCAGTCCTGCCAGTAATAAATAGGAAATGCGGCCCAACTTTATAGTGTTGCCTTGCACACAGCAGTTAACTTACCGGTGCCTCAATTTCTCTTCTTTTTTGTCTCCCATTTGGCAAAAGGGGACTGTTGTAGTGACTACCCTGTAGTGGGAGAGCAGCCAGCATCCGTAGCTTAGAAGAACAGACATGACAGATACCAGTCTTGGGACGATCCCAGGACTTCTCAAACTTGGCTGTCATTTGTTGTTCTACCACCATCGTCTCTCTAGAGTAACCCCTCAGTGTCCCCCAGAGTCATTCTCCCCTATGCTGTTTCCAGAGTGTTTCCACATTGAGTCATTGGGCCCTGTGCCCATGATGGACTCTTGTTCTAGGTGGCCTAACTCCAGGTATGGAAGGCACCTGGAGGACAAGCTATAAACCACTTTCTATATATGGTGATGTTTCTCTTGCCCTGCAGTGTTGCCCAGGGCCTGCCCTCTGTGCCAGCCTTACCAGCCCTTTCCCTCCGCCCCCTCCCTCCCCTCTACTCCTCAACTCCTTTCTTCTTTTTGGTCTTAAATCTCAGCAGGGGGCTCTGCTTTTGTCTTGGAAAATGCGGTGGGGCTATCCAACATTTATGAAGGGAGGACTTAGAGCAGGCAATGTTTTCAGAACATTATCTGCAGAGTATGTCACTATTTCCCATAGGTGGCTTATCATTAGAACTAACTGGGAACTTAAAAAAAAAAAAAAAAAGGTGGGAGGAGCTGGAGAGATAGTTCAGTGGTTAAGAGCAGTTGCTGCTCTTTCAGAATACCTGGGTTCAGTTCCCTGTGGCTCGCAACCATATGGGCTCTAGGCACACTTGCAGCGCACATACATGTGGGCAAAAACACTAATACAAATGAAATAAAAATAAATACTTTTTTTTTTAAGGCACAGGAGTCCCAGGCCCCTTGGAGGACCAGTTCAGTGAATGTAGCATAGGACTGAAAACCTGTTTAGTTTCATGAGCTTCCTTCCCGCCTGGTCTAGTGCATTATCTCAGAGGCGTCCAAAGGAGCTGTGATTGTTAGCTCCGATTTATGAAGGAGGAAACTGAGGCTTAGAGAGGCCAAATGTGCTGCCCAAGGTCATCTAATAAGTGTGGAGTAGCTGAGACGACACACAGTCTGACTCTGAGCCAGTGCCCTTAACAACCACACTGCTGTTGTCATCTCCTTTACAGGCCGTCTTGCCCCACCTACCTCTCTGTTCTCAGGATAGCCTGGGTTTCCATGGACCTTCTCCAAAATCTCTAAGGGTTTGCTTCCATATTCAGAGTCTGAGTAGCATCGCTTGCATTCCCTCCCCTACCCGCACTGTCACCTTGGCAGGCAGCCCCTTGCTACTGTCACAGATCCTAACAGGCCTGGCTTGTCTGCCTGGCAGCTGGTGATATCACAGAACTTGATTCTGTGATTGGCTGCTAAAAAGCAGCGGCAAAATCTGGTTGTACTGATTCTTCCCAGCTCCCCCTTACCTGAGCCAGGCTCTGCTCTGCAGGAATCAGAGCTGCCTCAGACTTAGGTGTCAACATTTGGAGTGGTTTCAAGGGGGTCACAGGAACCAGTCACCTAATCGCTATCCATGCATAGTGCCAGTAGAGGCAGCACCCCCGGAGAATGGAGCTTGTGGGGGAATGCAGGTTGTCACCTAGCAGAGGCTTAGATGGGGGAAAATACTTTGAACACACAGAAACCAGAAAGCTAAGATTCTGGAGAAGAATTGTGCTGTCGTCCCTGGAGCTTAGCTGATCCTCTCCAAGGCATACAAAGCCTTTACCTCTGCCCTCTGACCCACAGGCTGAGGCAGATGTGGCCTCCCTGAACCGCCGAATTCAGCTGGTAGAGGAGGAGTTGGATAGGGCGCAGGAGCGCCTGGCTACAGCCCTGCAAAAGCTGGAGGAGGCTGAGAAAGCGGCTGATGAGAGCGAGAGGTGGGGAATCGGGCCCTGGAGGGAGGGAGGTCGGGGCAGCAGAGGGAGGCGCCTGTCTCTGCTGGTCCTGACCCCACATGCACTTCTCTCGCTGCTTCTCAGAGGAATGAAGGTCATTGAAAACCGGGCCATGAAGGATGAGGAAAAGATGGAGCTGCAGGAGATGCAGCTGAAGGAGGCCAAGCATATCGCCGAGGACTCAGACCGCAAATACGAGGAGGTGATGGCCTCGGCCCACTTCACGTTCACCCACAGACCCCAAAGTCCCAGTGTGTCACCACTGACCTGCTTCTCTCTCTCCCCCCTCCCCTCTGGCCAGGAAGCTGGTGATCCTGGAAGGAGAGCTGGAGCGCTCAGAAGAGAGGGCTGAGGTGGCTGAGAGGTGAGGATACCCTGGGGCTGCCAAGGGAGCAGTAGAACAGCTGAGGGCTCAGCTGTGGGGCCCTGTGCACAGTGGTCAGGAAGTTCCCCAGGCCAGAGGCCACAGGGACAGGCCTCTAATCTATGCCTGCTGCCCCCAGCCGAGCCAGGCAGCTGGAGGAGGAGCTCCGAACCATGGACCAGGCCCTCAAGTCGCTGATAGCCTCCGAGGAGGAGGTAGTAACCTCTCTGGGCCTTTCTAGGCAATGACACCTTTTCTCACCTCATATCTCTCCTCAGCTCAGCATCTCAGGCTACTGTCTCTCTTCTGCAGTGGGAACTCGGGGATGGGGTTGGGGGTGGAGCTGCAGCTTCCAAACTCAGCCTGCTGTCACTCTCACCACTTTGCTCTTCTCTTTTCTCCTCCACCCCTCCCTCACTGTGCCACCCCCACTGTCTCACCCCACTGTGCCTTCACGCTCCATCCTGCCACACACCCCTGCAGTAAATGTGGGGACCTAGAGGAGGAGCTGAAAATTGTTACCAACAACCTGAAATCCCTGGAAGCAGAAAAGGACAAGGTAGAGGGGCCAGAGGGGCAGTGAGGATGGGCTTGGTGGGGTGGAGAAGACGGCTTAGGTAGGGAGGGCTAGGTGCTTAACCAAGGTCAGCTGGAACCTGCGGGGTTCAACGGAGAGCCAAACGATTCGGGATCAAAGAGCAGTTTGCTGACGGCATGTGTATGTCTCTTAAAGTATTCCACCAAAGAGGACAAGTATGAAGAGGAGATCAAACTTCTGGAGGAGAAGCTGAAGGAGGTAAGATGGCCGCTGGCAGGAAACCGAGGGTTTGAGACAAGAAAAAAAGGGTGACTGCAGGGAGACTCTTTGGGAAGGCCTCTTTCTTGGCCATGTCTCCTATCCCTTCTTTATTCTAGGCTGAGACCCGAGCAGAGTTTGCTGAAAGATCTGTGGCAAAGTTGGAGAAAACCATTGATGACCTGGAAGGTAAAAGGAATACTCTTCTACACCCATCCTGGTCAGCCTGGCCCTTATCTCATGTATTTGTATTTGTTAAATGTATTTGTTAAATGAGTTGGATTACCCAGGGCTCTGCAGACTCTGGTGGACCATGTCATCCACAATCCAAGGAATTATGCCACTGTAGTGCTTCTCTGAGTTTAAAATGAATGAGAATTAAAACCGATTGCTGGGGGCTAGAGAGCTGGCTCCCCAGTTAAGATCATTGGCTGTTCTTCCAGAGGACCCGGGCTTGAGTCCCAGCATCTACATGGTAACCCACAAGCTTTAGTAACTCCAAATCCAGGGCATCTGACACCCTCTTCCAGCCTCTGTTAGCACTATACATGCACATAGTACACAGACATGCAGGCAAAACACTCATACATTTGAGCGTTTTTTTGTTTTGGTTTTTTTGGGGGTTGTTTTTTTTTTTTTTTTTTTTTTTTTGAGACAGGGTTTCTCTGTGTAGCCCTGGCAGTTCTGGAATTCTGTAGACCAGGCTGTCCTTGAACTCACAGAAATCCCCTTGCCTCTGCCTCCTGAGTGCTAGGATTAAAGGTATGTGCTACTGCCTTCTGGCACATTTTTTTTAATCTAAAAAAAGCCAGCATATTCCTGGGCTTGGAAGGTGGCTCTGTGGGTAAAGCAGTGTCCCACAATGTGAGGACATGAACTCTGATACCCAGAACGTGTGTAAAAGCCAGACACAGTAGCCATGTCTGTAGTCCAGCTCTACTAACTCTACAGGATAGGAAGTAGGGGCACAGAGACAGGAGAATGGCTAGAAGTTCAACTGGCCTGTCATTTGAAATGATGATCCTAAGACTGTGTCTCAAACAAGGCAGAAGTTGAGGACCAACATCAAAGTTGACCTCTGACCTCCACACAGACATCGTAACATACAGACACCTGCAAATACTCACACATCATTACATAACCACACAATTTTTTTAATTGGTAGATCACATGGAAGGCCTTGATTTAAAGGGAAAAAGGAAGAAAAAAGAAAAACAAATGGATTCTAGACTCTATTCCAAGTGATTGTTTTCACTGGATGGGATCTTACTCTGGCCTCATCTATGGTGATCTCGTGGAATCTGGCTCCACAATGCTGAGATTACAGGCTTGGACCACCAGCTCCTTAATGCTGATGCTGCTGGTCTTGCCTAACACTAATGTAGTAAATGCCATCTCTAATGACACACAATACAATGGTCATATTTCAGAGATACTCCACACCCCCTTGTGCTGGGGATGGAACCCACAGCCTTGAATGCTTTAGACCAGTGTTCTACCACAGAATTGCCTGCAGCCCTGAGACTTCTTTACTGAATACAGAGCTATTTTTTTATTGTTATATCATTATTATTATTATTATTATTATTATTATTATTATTATTCAGTGCTAGGGATTAAACCTAGGGCCTCATACACACTAGTCAAGTTCTTTGCCACTGAGCTGTATCCCAGCCACTATTAGATTAAATATCAGGATTTATATAATACTGTTAATAGAAGCTACTACATTGAACTATACTTGGCAAAACCAGAAATCCAGGTATTTGCTGGTCTGTGGTTATTGCTATTATCCACAAGGTCACCTCTCTCTGATAACCCTTTACTTTCATTAATCCCTATGTCTCCTGTTTTCAGTCTCCTCAGGCAAGCAGGAATTTTATCTCCAACTTTAGGACTTTAGACTTTCCAGCAGCACCCTTCCTCTCCCTCTTAAGCATGCATGCCTGCCTGCTCAGAGCACTACCCACAAGCTTCTGGGAGATGCTGCAGGGGGGAGTGACAAGTTGGGGTGTAGAGGACAGAGAGGAGTCCAGGAGAGAAAGGGGGAGAGGAAACCCTGACTGCCGTCTGGCCTGTTTATCCTCTCTCCTCTCTCTTCTGTCCATCTTTCTGAGTCTTTTTTTCCATTTCATCATCTCCTTCTCCTCCACCTCCTTCTCCCTCCCTCCATCTCCTTCCCCATGCTCCCTCCCCCTCCCTTCTTCGGACTCCCCAGATGAAGTCTATGCTCAGAAGATGAAGTACAAGGCCATCAGCGAGGAGCTGGACAACGCACTCAATGACATCACCTCCCTCTGAGTCCAAACCACTGCGGCCGTTGCAGGCCCCCGTCTCTTTTCTCTTTCCAGTCTCTGGGGAGGGGGCACAGCCAAGAGGAGCACAAATTGGCAACATTGTATAGTCAGGCCGAGGGCAGCTGAGGGGAGCACGCCTATCACTCCTGCCATCCACTCTGGCACTGGCTTTATCCTGCTATCTGTCCACTGTCCACTGACCTCCCATCTCCTCTACTACTTAATAAACTCTGAACTTGGTCTCCATGCTGTTTTCCTGCTCCCAGAGAGCTCTTTATCACTATCATAGCACTGGTTTACTCCTGAGACTCTGGCTTTTACCAATACCCTCAATCTTGTGACACTCAGCCCTCCCACAGAACACTGTGGCCCACACACATCCTTCTGCATGGTACTCCCAGCTTGTCACTTTCTGATAATCAATGCATGTGACTATATGTGGGCCCATCAAGCACAGCCTCCCTTCCCCTCTGCAGCCCATCACTGACCTTGGAGCACTTAATCGGGATCCCAGAATCTGAAGGAATGGCCGGAAGGGAAATGGGGTGGTAAGGCACAGGGGTGGGACTGGAAGTCAGAAAAGGTTTGGCGTGAAGGTCGGAAAAGTATTGGATCTCAGCAAGAGGGGCTTTCACAGCAGCTGCAGGTCTGTTTTCTAGCTCAATTCTGTCTGTCTGACCCTCCCTTTCCTGGCTGAACCTTTGTCTTCCCTTTTGTTTTCAACTCTCCTAAACCTTCTAAAGGAAGGCAACCCCATTTATGATACAGGCCTCCCCATCCCACTGACACTACCCCAGCCAAGGCCTGGAGAGATATTTGCGTCTGGTCTGTCTACCTATTCACCCCCATCATAGGCCCTAGGTCTATAAAGTGTCTCCTAACATGTTTTGTGTATGTGTTGTCCCCTTTCCCTGCCCTTGGTTCCCTCCCTCGTGTTCCTCCCTCCCATTTCCCCTCCCCCACCTCACCTGTTGCTTCCCCTCACAGAGACTTTGGCTAGTGCCAAGGAAGAGAACGTGGAGATTCACCAGACCTTGGACCAGACCCTTCTGGAACTCAACAACTTGTAAGGGCTGGCTGTGCTGCCTACCAGACTATATAGTTGCCTCCTCAGGCCAATAAACTGATGTTCCTGGCACATCAGGGCCCTTTAAGCCTTTTTTTGGTTGACAGTAGTCCTGGGAGGACAGCAGCATCCCCTTTTTAATGGGACCTCTGAGGTGTGGATACTGGACTCAGCAAACAACTGTGAGAAGCGGTTCCTAGGAAACTATTAGGAAACTATCCTGGCCTCTAGTTCTCAGAGGGCGGAACCACCATCCATGATACAACTCTGTTTTAACAGTCACTGGGCCAGATATTCCTCCACCAGGGTAGAAGCCCGAAAGGCTCACTGCCTGTGAACTAAAGTTTAGAGGGTGTGGCCAAGGCAACCTCCTGACTCAAACTGCTCTGTGCTCTCACCCCAACAAGGTCCATATTCTAACCCTGGGAAATGCCATGTTAGCCAGAAAGAGACATTGTGTGGCTGAGCAAAGAATCTGAGATGGAGATGGTTATCACGGGTTAATGGGAGGGGGTTAATGGGGTCAGGCCCAGTCCATCACAAGGTCCTCAGAGGGTCTGGGAAAGCCAAGCATGATGGTGCAGGCCTGTAGTCCCAGCACTCGAGAGACTGAGGCAAGGACTTGAGTCTTGATTCAGTCTGGGCTACAGAGTAAGACTTGGTCCAGAAGGGAAAAGAGAAAAGAAAAAATTGTGGGGGTAGGAACAAGGTGAAAGGCAGAATGGAAGCAAGGAGTTGGAGTAATTCCGGGAAAGGGCAGTGAACAAGGAATGCAGGTGCGTCTAAAGTCTGCAAATGGGCGTGTTCTACTTGAGCAATTCAGGAAGAGTACAGTCCACTCACACCTGGACTAGCACATAAAGGCCATCTTGGACATCCTTGCCTCAGGAGCTGTAAGGGTTAACACTCTGAGCTTGTGGGAATTGTTGTTTTTTTTTCACCCAGTAGCCATAGGAGATTAACAGAACATCCTTCTGATTCAAGGACAAAGGCAATACATGTTTCTTTAGAAATATTTATTTTAGTTGGGCGGTGGCCGCACATGCCTTTAATCCCAGCACTCAGGAGGCAGAGGCAGGCGGATCTCTGACTTTGAGGCCAGTCTGGTCTACAGAGCAAGTGCCAGGATAGGCTCCAAAACCTACACAGAGAAACCCTGTCTTGAAAAACCAAAAAGAAAAAAAATATTTATTTTATATGTGTTTTATTAGAAATATTTATTTTAAAAATAATCCGGATGAGCCAGGCATGATGATGCATGCCTGTAATTCCAGCATTCAAGAGACTGAGACAGGAGGCTAGAGAGTTCAAGGGAAGGGGCTATAAGCTTGGTCATTGGTAGAACACTTGCCCAGTCAGAACAAGATCCCGGGTTCAAACTCCATTACCATACACACTCAGTTCAAGGCTAGCCCTGGCTACATAGTAAGACCTAGGGGTGTATAGCTCAGTGGTAAATAATTTGACTGTACAGTAAAGCAAGAATTGCTAGGTGGTGGTGGATGCCTTTAATCCCAGCACTTGGGAGACAGAGGCATTCAGATCCCTGTTCGAGCCATCGTGGTCTACATAGCAAGTTCTAGGACAGCCAGGGCTACATAGAGAAATCTTGTCCCTGAAAAAAGTGTGTGGGAGGGCAATAATTGAGTCCAATTTTGCCTTTTCACTATAAGATCCTATTACAGTACTTTAAGGAAAAGAAGAAAAGTTAAAAGGATTCCTTAGTGGTTAAAAAGAAACTGTATAATGGGCAGAACAGGATGAGGTTTCCAGAATCCTCCAGCTGGCTTCTCCTTATTAGGCTCCAGTTTCTGTCATTTCTGCTGGGCTGTAGCTAACTCCATCTTTGGTCTCACTTCTGTGCCTATAGAACAGGGAACTAGAATCAGAAAACCAGCCCTGAATGAGCTCATTCGCAGTCCTGGAATTCTGGGTTATACAAAAAAAGCTGTGCCAAGGGAGGGCCATAGATACCTGTGCTGCCTCTTCAGCTGAATGAGGAAGGCCACGCTGGTGGCAGCAAAGAGAATGCCAAACACCAAGGCTAGGATGTCACCTGGGGAACAAGAGGGGCTGCCTCAGGGAGTGCCAGGTGTTTCCCTCCAAGCTGACTTCCTATACTCCTGACCCTTTCCCGGGAGTGAGTGCTCAGGCAGCCCCCAGGGATTCAGTCTCCAGAACAGGCCATCTGGAGGATGGAGGTGGAGATCTGGGATAAGACAGCACCGTTTTCCCTCTAGCAGCTAGGTGAAAGGAGTGTTGGGGGACAGGCATCACAAGATTTCTGGAGCCCCTTTCTGATAAACTAAACCAGAGGGATGGGGGGGTTCCCCACCTGACGTATCATATTGGTTAGGAATGCAGAAAGGGAAAGTACTAGCTTCAGGGCTGAATGATACTAACGGGTTTCCCCCAGCATCAGGAACAAAGGGGACCCCAACTCACCAGCAGCAAGACAGGAATTCATGTGGACTGAAGGGAAAAAAGGAGACATTAGAGCCAAGGCTCGTGAGTACCTGTGACAGGCTGTGGCACAAATGAAGACATAGGGAGAAGAGGGGCCTGTGGCCAGGGGATATGACAACATGGACTATCAGACAACTGTGCACCTGGTTCAGGGCTGCTGTCCACTCTGGCAGGGAAAGAAGCCTCAATCATTCGTCCATTCAAAGGTTGTGTGGCTCGAAAATTCAGTTGTAGCCGAGAATCATGAGGTCCCCACAGGGAAACAGAGAGAGTATGGAGCTGGGGGAAGGAGGGTCAGTAGATAGTACAAGACAAAAAGAAGCAAGGGGTCCTCAACTCCCTATGGCCCTTCACTCCATGGTCCCTTGACCACGCCTCATCTCTGCTACATTCCCATTTTCCAACAGCCTGTGTCAATACCACACCCCACTCTCACCTGCTTAGCACTCAGCTTCACCGTCTGGTTGAACACAGTCCAGATGACGCCCTGGCTGCAGGGAGGTGTTGTTAGAGACCCTTCGTATCGGTAGTAACGGCTGAGGTCGGAGGGCAGCAGTGCAGATACATCCAGACCTGGGATCTCAATCTTTGTGCCTGTGGGTAGGGTCTGTGTTGAGGTCTCACCTAGATCGCATCTCCTGGGAGCTCAGAGTTTCACTGCTCCTCACTATGTGTGCGTAATCCAAAAGGAAGTAAAGGGTTTGGGCAATTAGAGGAGGCCTTGCACTGCTGAGCCACCTCTCCAGTTCCAAGAACAGTGAGGTCATAAGCCCTCCTTTGACGCCTTCTGAGTACACTACCATATCAAGCAGGACTGCTGACTTAATCCCAGATTGGAATAAAAGAAGATGGAGCTGGGATGTAGCTCTGAGGTGGAGGCCCTGCATGCTATCTAGTGAGCACATCCCCACATGCACACGTACACATAGAATAACTTGTAAATACTTTTAATATTCGTAACTATAATAAGCACACACAAAGCTGACGGTGGTAGCCTACACCTTTAATTCCAGCACTTGGGAGGCAGAGGCAGGTGAATCTCTGTGAGATCAAGGCCAGCCTGGTCTACAGAGTGAGTTCCAGGACAGGTTCCAAAGCTAAATCGAGAAACCCTGTGTCAAAAACAAAACAAAAAATCCAACAACAACTCCCCTCCCCCCCCAAAAAAAAACTCTCCTTGAGTTTCAGTTTATCAAAAACCTAAAAGTCTAGTAAACTGAGATTTAAAATAACTTAGTCGCTGAGAAGGGAACTAGCTTTTCAGCTAAAGTGGTTTTTCAGTGCTGGATTTAGGGCCTCACCCTTGCTCTGCCGCCAATCTATGTCCCTAGCCTTTTTGGAGATATGGTCTCATGTAGCCTAGGCTGGCTTCCAACTTGGCCTGTAGCCAATCTCCCAAGCACTGGAATTACCATCATGCACTATCTATCATGCCCGGCTCTAAAGCATTTATAAATATAAAATATTTGATGATTATAAATGGTAGACAGTTCCCAAAATCAGTTTAGCTTTCTACATTCAACCCTATGTTTTAAACATTTTTCTCTCTCTTCTTTGCTTTTTTTTTGTTTGTTCATTTATGAGACAAGGTCTTACTATGTAGCCCTGACTACCCAGAACTCATGTAGACCAGGTTGGCTTTGAACTAAAGGCACATGCTGCCATGCACAGTCTCAACTTTGCTTTTTTGTCGAATATTATTTTCTGTTTAGTTTTGACTTCTAATTGTCAAACCTGTGGACAGTAGCTTCCCTACTCCCATTGGTTGCTCATCACTTCCACAGTTATTACCAATCTCAGAGCCAATTCACCCTCAACCCCTTCCATATCTCCATTCTCAGGTGTACAGTCCCTAGGGCAAGCCACAAACTGACCTTCCTCTGCGATTTCTTCCAAATGTGACAGCAACTGTTCATAGGCACTGTTCTCTTCTGGACTCTCCTGCAGGGGTGGGCAGGGGATACAATGCAAGGTAGATTGATACCTCTTTCTAGGACCATAGTTGGAGGCCTGAACATGGGATATTTTTCCCATGTCTTTCTCCATTCCTCACTTCTAAGATTGCTGGGGGAATATAAAATCTTATTATTCAAATTCTATTGCTCTTGCTTTGCAAACGAATTAGCGTGGTGCACTGGATTTCAGTGGCAAACTGAAGAAGGAGGAGAAAATTTACTAGGCTACTCGGTCCCTCAGTGATCTGGGCCCTGCTAACTTTCACAGTTTCCCCCATTATTTCCTGGTATACTCTCGGGTCTCCTGAAGAAATCCACAATGTTCTGTGCTTGTGTTACCTCTGTGTTCACTTTAATAATTCATGAGTTGGACTCTTGGAGTGTAACCTGCATCTACATGATGAGGCACTTGGTGCCATGAACTTCACTAGTGAGTCTTACAGGCATCTCATCTCCTCACTTCCTGGCTTCCTCCTACCATGGTGTGTGCACTCTTGATCATTAGGGGTACAAAGAGGTCACTGAATAAACACTGCATTTCATGGTGGGGAAATGATGGGTCACAGAAGTAGCCGAGAAATGACTCTTCCTCAGGCCCATTGTTGCATGTGGCATTCCCTGAATGGTCCATATTCTTTCTCTCCCTGTGCAACATTCCTCCTTGTTTCCCACCAGTGAAGGATTTAAGTTTCACCTCCTCTGTGACCATTATTTTTAGTGTTCTTCATTTCTGACTGTCAGTCTCTGTTTGTGGGTTCCTTAAAGGAAGCCGTCTTGTAGTCTGCTTCCCGTTTCCATGCTGCTGCTGAATGAATGAGCAAAAGCATGAATGGAACTGACAGCTAATTGACCAGCTTGAGAGTGCTGGAACAACGGGGTCTCTGCTAGCAAGATGCACTGAACCCATGGGATATGAGTGTCAAGTGTGGTACCTGCAGAAAGGCAGCCAAAACGGCCAAGCTTCCTGGGCGACCCAAGGCTTCATGAAGTTCTGAGAAAGCAGTACTGAGGTGAACCACATGGATCTAAGAGAGGGTGTAAGGGTCAGGTTCAGGCCAGAGCTTTGATCACACCCTCTTTGTTCCTCTTGGGACAGCCTAATGCCCACCTCAGCAGGGAACCGGTGGCCATTGACAGTGTGCTCTGAGCCCGGGTGATCTGAAGTTCCCCAGTGTAAATGCAACTGCAGGGCCCGGTACTCCTGCCCAGGTCCCAGAGCCATCTTCAGCCCCGGTGGCAGAGTCAACTGTACTGTGTGGGGAGTGGCAAGGGAGTGATGTCTAGCCACCCAGGAGCACCAGCACAACCCCCAAGCACAGTTTAATTGCCGCTCCCCTCCGTAGGCTCCGCCCCAGACACCTCACCCGTATGGCCATTGTTGCTCAGGCTCAGTTCCGGGAGAGGCTGAAGCTCATAGCCCAGTAGTTCCAGGGGTTGCAGGGCGCGGCAGAATGAGGTGAGCTCCGGGCGGATATCTACAGGGGACTGAAATCGGCCGGCACAAGCTGGGGACACCTCGGGCCAGAGTAGGGTTCCTGGCATGTGAGAAAAAGGTGCAAGAAGTCTGATGAGTAGGACAAGAACCGTTAGGGTAAGTGAAGGGGAGGAGTCAGGAAGCGTGGAGGCAGGAGTAAGGGGAGGGGCAGAGACGTGGGTCCAGATGAGAGCTAGTATTGGAGGAGGTGGTGGGGCAGTTCAAAAGCCTGGACTCCCAGAGTAGGTCTGTGTGGGAGGCGGTGTCTTACCAGTATAGCTCCAAGGACTGTGGTCACCCCCTGCATAAATGAGAAGAATTAATAAGCCCGCTCTTACAGCCCAGTCACTTCCCAGTGCCTACAAAGAAAAAGATTCCCTCCAGCCCTGACGGGGCCTCACAGACCGGGTTGTCTTACAAGAGCGTCCAGGCTAGGTGCAAAGCACGGTGGCCTACTACCAACTGTGACTCGGCCACTGGGGGAGTGGTCAGCAAACCTGCTGGGGGAAGACAGTTTGCAAATGCTAGGGTCTGTGGAGTGGCTTCAGTGTGAGATCCAAATCAGTAGATCAACCTTCTTTTTCCTCTACTCACCCACTGGTCTCTCTTCCCAGTCTTTAGCTTTTCCAAGTTCCTAACCCAGAGCCAAGTGTGCTGGTACACACCTGAAATCCCAGAGCTCAGAGACAGGTAGACAGCAGGAAATAGTTCAAGGCCAACTGATCCGATAAGTAATAATACCCCACCTCACCCCTTACTCCCCTCCTGCCCCCAATATCCCACCTCACCCCTTACTCCCCTCCTGCCCCAAAAGCGAGCCAAAGTTCCTCCGCCTGCCGATTGCTTCTGCACTGCAAATTGTGACATCAGTCTGCTCTCTATACGTCCTCTGAGACCCCCTTCTCTTATCACACTCTTTCTCTCTCTACACTTTTCTGCCTCTCTATCCATTCCTCGATTCTATGTCTTCTTCAACTTCTCCCTTTCTTCTTTTATCTCTCCCAACTACTCTCCCCTGTAGGGAGAAGGGCTACCTGTTAGAGTACAGTTTCCCTCCTGCATCTCTGCTAGGGTTGGGGTGTGGTGAGGGAGGTGGAAAACTACCTGAACCTCACTTTGGAAGCTGATGACGCTTACTTACCTTTTCCGTCCCCGTGGGGACTTTGACTGTCCTCGGGAGCCTCAACAGTGGGTAGATCCTCTAACTTCGGGGGATCCTCCTTTTTGGCTTTGGCGTTAACTTCAGGTGGATCCTCCCTACCAGACTGACCCGCCTCCCCAGGTGCATCTTCCTTACTGGGCAGATCCTCCACGCCCAGATCATCCTCTCCAGATGAACTCTCTCCCAAGGAGGGCTCCCCCTGCATTCCGGACAGGCCCTGGGGATGAGCAGATACCAGGAGCAGCAGAAAGAACAGCGGCGCAGTAGGGGCTGGGATCAACAAAGAGGGCCGGGGGCCGGGGCCCAGGGAAGCCATGCGACTGACTGGGGTGTCCCAGGACACGGTGTGGTGTACGGGCTGTACGTGCATCGGAAATAGGAGCTGGGTGGGGGGAGGAGCAAGCCTTGAGGGGAGCAGGCTGACTCACAGAATGCCCTTTTGTAGAGATGGAGCCAAAGTCCTACAGGTTTGCCTGGCCCCGTGCCCCCTGCCCGATACCAAAGCCTGGACACAGGTCGGGTAAGAGGCAGGGTTGGGGTAAGAGGCAGGTGTGGTCACAGGCAGAAGGTTCTCTGGATCACCAGCTCAGCTTGGAGCCCAAGGCACCACCTGGCACTGTATAGGTTCTCCGTGGCACCACCCGGCTTCTGCCCGCCAGTCTCTGCTAGGCCTGGCCTGCTTCCCAGCCTCGGCAGAGAAGAGGAAAGAAGGCAGCTGGGGCCCCCATGCAGTTGGGCTGAGGAGACAAGAAACTCGTGTATAAATCCTGCCTCAGTGAGGTCTCCGTTAAAGGGGCAGGTAAAGACACTGGGGGAGCCTAGGGCTGGGTAGGGGTAGGAAGGGTCTCACGGTTAAGTAGGAGGCAATTTTGAGCATGAATGTTTGAATATATACATATATATGAGAAAGACTCTGATGGCTCCCCCATTGCCTGCCAAAGTATGACCATTTTCTTTTTCCCACTTCCAGGTCTGCAAAACCTCACCCAAGACACCATTAAGTCTTGTCTCTTGCTTTCCCCCTAATGTTCCAGTCAGATTACTCATTTGTGTGCACTTTTTTGCTCTCCTGCCCTTTGTCCTTGTTTTTTAGTGATGGAGACTAAATCCAGACAAGTACTCATCCATTGAGCTTCACTCCCAGCCCTAAAATACTCATTTCTTTTTCTCCAAACTTTTTACTGCCTTTTTAAATCTAAGTCTCGGTGCCAAGAATGCCACTCATATTTGCATTCTGTATCAGTACCTACAGCACGCTAGGCTGTGGACTAGGGATACGGAAATCCATATCTGAGGAGCTCTCACTCCAGTGAGGACAAATATTATCTCAATTCTGCTGCAAGAAAGTATGGAAGTAGGCAAAATCTGACCCCACCTTTGAAGAAGAGGTAGGAGCTCCATGGGGAGGTAGGTGGCTATCACAGTAAGGAGAATCGTACTCTGGGCAAAAGAGAGGCATGGAATATTTTGAACAGAGGCTGTCCAGATGGCTCAGTGGGTAAAGGCACTTGCCACCAAATCTGATGATCTGAGTTGGGTCCCCAGAATTGACATGGTGGAAAGAGAGAACCCTCTGTCTCCCATGTGTGCCATGGCACATGAACGTGTGCAAACACACACATAACAAATAAAGAGAGGTAAAAAGAAATATTTTGAAGAGGGTGACAGAATCCAGTTTTTATATTAGGCCCCCAGTCTGTCCATTTAATGCACATTTACTGAGTCTCCTCTAATCTTCCTGATATTGCTACTGTTCCCAAGCATGCAGCATAGACAGAGGACAACGTTTAGTTCTGAAGCTCACATTCTCAGGAGATCCCCATGGCCTCAACAAATGACAAAAGAATAAGGCCATTTTGTGCCTGTATCTAAGATTATTCAGTGAACAATCAGCAGGGTAACTGTATAGGTTAATTGAATGCATCGAGTTAGTTTTAATTCTGTAGCATACAGCCATATCCCATGGCTCCAGGTAATGGCTATCCCAGCGTCTCTTTGAGAACCTTCTAGATGATTCCTGATCTAAAGGTTAATGCCTAATACAGAAGAGTCCAAGTAACCTCATCTGAGGGACCCAATCAGGTTTAACTTTGGCTATTTATGTTGTAAACCATCATGGTGTTAAATGTTTTTTATTATCTTACTTTTCTAAATCCTGTCTGTTCTGACTCAGATCCCAGACAGCTTCTCCAGGATTTTTTTTTTTTTTTTTTTTTTTTTTTTTTGAGACAGGGTTTCTCTGTGTAGCCCTGGTTGTCCTGTAGACCAGGCTGGCCTCAAACTCAGAGATCTGCAGGCCTCTGCCTCCCAAGTACTGGGATTAAAGACATGTACCACCATGTTTTTAATTTTAATTTTTAAGTGTGTGTGTGTGTGTGTGTGTGTGTGTGTGTGTGTGTATGAGAGAGAGAGAGAGGAGAGCAGATACCTACAGAAGTCAGAGGTGTTGGATTCCCGTGTACATGTGGGGGTGGGCTTGTGTGTATTTGGATGTGGAGGTCAGAGGGCAGCCAGTTCTCTTCTACCTTTATGTCGATTCCAGGGTCAAACTCAGATTGTCAGAGGCCATAGGAGCAGAGAGGACCATACTGTAAAATGGAGTTTGGGGCTGCATGGATGCTTTCCTTCAGCACCAATCTCAGCTTTTGTGCATTTTCCTTCCTTCTAAATATTCTGAACATTTCGGTCTTGTCAGGATTTTTGTATACTTCCTGGAAGCTCCATGATCCCACATCGCTGGGTGCATTCCTTCCTCCATTTGTAGACTTCTTCCCATCATGCCAGGCTTACAAGGCAAGTGGCTTTATGTCTGAATCATCTTGCTAACCCAAGGAAACCATTTTTGTAACCAACCCTCTGCCTCCATTCTGGAAGCGTTCAATGGTGCCTCTGAACTACCACCATACTGTGCTTGACCTCAGTAATAATCTTGCTCACAAATTAATTCATATTAAGATGATTTATGATGTTTTATCTGCTCTACTAATCTTGTGTTCCATGAGGGCAGGGTTCAAAATTTCACTCAATTTTTTATTCAACAACTATTAGCAAGCATTTTCTCCCTGCAGAATGCCTTGCCAGGTACTCTTATCTTAGGAGCACATTGTCAATGACTTGTGTATGAAAACCAAAACTCCCCCTCCCCTCCCCTCCTTTTGCTGTTGTTTGGGACATACTATTATGTAGTCCAGGCTGGCTTGGAACTCTCTGTAGCCTCATACCCTATATATTCTTCTTGCCTCAGCCTCTTGTGTACTGAGAATATAGATATATATGGCCATGCCTGATGTTAAATCACTTTTATCGTACTTCAAATTGTTGTCTATCATATTGTACATCAAGTTGTTTATGGCTGAATAAAGCCGACTTCCCCATGTGCTCGTCATAGAAGATAACTAAGGGTTTCAGGCTGCCTTTGTGTGAATGGATAAGTTCAGTGACAGAGTGCTTGCCTACCATGCACAAGGCCCTGTTGGCCTTTCTGAAGCCAAATGCAGTGCCATCCATGACATTTTGACCCATCATGTACTCTGGATAGTCGGCTGTTTTCAGAGCCTTGCTTGGACTCTGGCACATGGAAGGAACGTGGTAATATCTTAATTGGATTGGTTGTTGAAGGCAGACTACAATAACTATTGTAGTCTAGAAGGGAGAGGCCACGGGAGCAAAGAGGACCATACTGCAAATGGAGCTTGAGGCTGAATAGATTCTTCACTAACACAGATCTCAGCTTTTATACATTTCCCTCCTTTCTAAATATTCTGAACATTTCAGCCTGAGCAGGATTTTCATATACTTCCTGACCCCACATCTCTTCCTCCCCTTTGTAGGGCTTTGTGTCTGTGTTTCAGCACAGATCTGCTTGTAGGTACAGCATTGTCAGAGTTCACTAACTTTCCAACTGCTCTTCTCTACAGTTCTGGGTCCCAGTGTCTTCTATCTCTCCATGTGGACATTTCCTTGGCTTGGGTGGAGATGTGGACTCTGATCCTGGATCACACCTTTATAACTCAGGAATCTACCAAACCCTAAAACAAGCTAGAGCTCTGAGAGTTCTTGTATCAGGGACACTCCCTGCCTGGCACAGGACAACTCCTGGTGTTTAAAGCCAAGTCTTTGATCACTGGGATCTGTGTTTCTAAACTTGACAAACACATTCCTAAAACAGGTTTCTGATTAGCCCTGGGCTGCAGGAAAGGGAATTATTTACTGGTAGAGCAGGAGAAAAGCCCCCTTCTCTCTAGTCATGGATTGGAAGCAAAAATCAAAGCTGTTTGAGGTCTTGAGGCTGACCTGTAGTTCTGGCCCATCACACTGTTATTGCTAGGGCTATCATAAAAATTGCCTTAAACCAGGTGTCTTATGGCAATGCAATTTTTTAAAAATCTCAACATTCTGTAGGCCTTAAGTCTGAAGTTTTTTTTTTTTGTTTTGTTTTTTTTTTTTTTTTTTTTTTTTTTTTTT